AAAATCGTATAAACTCTTTTTCTTATAAGGCTGACACATTCAATCTAAAAATAGGTTATAAAAAAACAAACAGAAAGGAAAGCGTTGGTTTTAGGATTAATAGATTAATTATAATAGTTTTCTCTGTTCTCTCTCTAGTTTTCTCTATAAATAATCTTTTGCTTTTAGAAGCATTTATTTCGACTTTAACAACTTTGCCATAATAATAATAAAAAAATACTAGTAGCAGTTAAATGAAACGTAGCAGATGGGAAATTCAAACATTGAAATCAACTAATGTTAATAATATTATTAGCAGAGCACTTCTTCTATTATAAAATCAGAAGACGGATATGCCCTGTTCATAAAATTTCTTGGGCTGGGATCGATTCCACTTTCTAACTGCTTGTAATATATTCTATTATTTAATATTTTCAATAATATTTTTAGTAGTGTATTCAGTTTAACTATTTTTATTATTAGCATCTGATGGTAGACTGTAATAGCATAACATACTAATGGCCCATATATAAGTAAAAAAACTGTAAGTCTAAATGTATGTTTTTAAGAAAAACCTACCAACACGAGTAACATTCAAGAAACACACTTTAAAATAATGGATGACGTACCCATAACGCCTAATCTATAATTCAGAGTAACCAATATTACATCTTTCTGCACGATGTAATCGGGACCATAAATAGTAGCATCACCAGAACCTGTAGCATAGGCACCGCCGTGTATCCATACCATTACCGGACGCTTTTTTGAGAGTTCGATTTTCATGGTATACACATTTAAATAGAGGCAATCTTCATCTCCCGTAATTATCTGTCTTAAATCCATTTGAACCGCCGTGTTTCCATACTTCGATGCATCTCTATAACCGGACCATGGTTCTGGTGGTACCGGATCCTAGATATATAAAATATGTAAAAAATATGATCATAAATTTGTAATATTATGTATAGTATAATATATATTTCGCTAATGAAGTATTTGCTATTAACTAATATTCATTACAGAACATTTATTCTTCCTTTTTATCGAAAATACTCTCACAAAAATTTTAACACATTTTTAATAACTCATTCTATATTTAACACGACATTTACTTTTAAAAGAAATATGTATTTAAATCGTGTAGAGTTTATCCTATCATAATTAATTCGTCAACGTTTTAAAAAAAATCAGATTCTTTTTTCTTTCTCATTTTAATTTTAAAGAAAATCAGCTAAAGTTTGTCTTTCTATTATTAGTGAAAAATTAATTATATTGCACTAATACTTACTTTAAATCTGAGTTCGCCAACCGGAGGTTTGGCATATGGTATTCCACGAAAAGCAAGGTAACGAACATCATAACCATCTACAACCACACCGATCAATTTTCCTTCATTTACTTGTACTTTTAATTCATTTGTACTTGTACATTCAATACTCATAATAAGTATACTGAAAAAATAAGTATGAGAACAATATTAAAAAAATCAACTAATCTTTGTTATAATATTTGTATAAGGTAAACGTTCCAATGACCGAAGATGTACCTATGTTTGGACATTTGTACAAAATTTTACTTTAATGTAATAGAATCTGAAAATTTTGTGTCTCTCTCAATCTAAGGATTACAGTTCTATCAAATGAAAAAAATAACACGTTTGAAGTTTCAAGCACTAATAAGAAATAAGAACTCGCCAAATTCACTAACGAATTATAAACAAAATTTTATTATTAACGAACGTTTTGTGTTATCATCTTTTTTACTTATTTTTAATTTAAAAATAAGTCTTTGCGATTAACCGATTTTTAATGTTTTGATTTTGCGACATAATTTGTAAACAGTTTTCCGAAATTTATATTTGATGTTTTTATGTACCGGAGAAGGTCTGATCGAGACCGAAATGTTTATAATTATTATTGTTCATATAACAACAGGATCGTTATTTAAAACAAGGAAAAAAAAATTACCTCGTTATCAAGAACTTGCGTTGTGGCACATGCTCTTTGTTTTATTCATTTGAAAACTTTATTTATTTATATGATTACTAATCTCAAATGCTTTTTAAAATAATTTTTGAATACAATTAAAATATAATATATATTGTAACAGAAAAACATTTGAAATTAATAATAATAAATTTTGTGTAAGTATCTGACATACATGTCCAGTGTCACTGGACGTTTGCCTTATGTTATGTGTATATTTGATTTAAATATAATATGTATTGACATATTGATTTGAATTTCCATTTTTATATTACATGTACATATATTATTGTATTATTTATAACACAGCAGACTTCAACTAATAATATCGATTATGTAAAGCAAAATTTTTGAAACTATGAAACAGTCGCCACTGTAAATTCTACTATTTTATCTCTAATGTTACTTTAGTTTTCAGTCATAGTGTAATACAATGCGCAATTTTATTTTAAAGAAACGCGTTAATCGCGCATTGTATTACACTATGACTTAAAAAATTTAAAGAAAAGTCGTTAACAAGTGAGAGGTTACAAATATCCTCGTTATCTTAATTATTGGATAGATTATTGTACAAGATAAGTATATTACATAAACAGAGCTTCGCTGTTGTTTTTTATTCTTTATTAATAGCATCGAAAACTATTAATCAATATGTTATTCTTTGAACTGGATAAAATATGTTAATCGCGTCCTCAGTATAGCGATATAATCTTCATGCCATATAATTCAGTAAAATATGATTGTGTAACAGGCTTTATCTTGAAATACGTGTTTTCATACTCACGCCGAGATCGCCAATTGCAGCAGCATTTTGTTGCGTCCTACTGTTGTCACTAAATCTATCGAAGACATTACGAAAAAAAATTGTGAAAAAACCTTATATTTATCTCTGCATTTGAGTAGTTTTGTAATACAATTTTTACTAATTGATTTTTCTCACAAAACACTAAGAAATGACATGCTCATCTCAATTCTCTAAAGAGGACTGACGCGATTTTCAAACATGTATTGTCCTTATATATTTTCGTTTGAGTATATAAATATTTAGACATATTTAGCGAAAGAAACGGTATTATTTGAAAATAATTTTCCTTCTCTTCTTGCTGTGTTATACACCTTACGCTTTTCTTTCTTTAATCAGAAGACAGCATTATCTAATTAGTCTCATGATAGAACTATCTAATATTCTTATCTTGTTAATAATCTATCTAATAATAATATCCATGTATATAATATGCTTATCTTATTAACATAATTTTTATAGAATAAATATGTGAATAAAAGTACATATATATATGCATATGATATATAACGATTGGATTTTTCAATATATTTTTAATATAAATAACGTTTTTGCGGTATAAAATACTTTTTTTATTTTATGGAGTCTGTGTTTTAGAGATACAAAAATTTAATTTTTTATATTTCTTACATTTATATTTTTTTGGACAAGGCAAAAATCATTGAAATAATAAACTTTGTGACTGTTTGCACTTTTAATAAAAAATTTTGGTTAATATTTATATCACTTCTCTCTCTCTCTCTCTCTCTCTCTCTCTCTCTCAATCAATCAAAATTAACGTTATTAAACTAATAACATTTAGAGTACTTATATCGTTTAAATAACGTTATAGTGATTTTCAGTAAAATAAATGTAGCATGCATAAATGTCGGTTTATCATATAATATTTATTCATAATTTTTTATCTATAATATATTTTATCTTCGTATAGAAAATTTTTATAATAGTATAATAGACAATAAGATACAATATAAATGTGCTGGCTGTTAAGATTTATATTTTTATTTAAAATATTCATGATGAATAAGTGTGTAAACTTTAATATTAATAGATTTTCAAATATTAGTATATTAATAAATTTTTATTTCATAAATCGTTATATGGATAGATATGATGTGAACATTTACATCTTAATGAAACAGAAGTTGTAGTCATTTTTAAGTTAGCGCAGCGAAATAGTCGACATCGCGGAAAAGAAGCAACAATATTTTTATAGAGTATTGACTTAATATGCTTTTTTTTAGAAGTAAATATACAAGAAATATTAACAAGTCATTACATTTATTAATGTGTGATATACATACTTGAAAAGGATTAACTAATATTTCTGAAGACTTGAAAGACTATACTGCGTAATGCAGATCGATGAGGAACGTCAAACTCCGAACATTGATGTGAGATTATATAGACTTACTATTGTCCGGGAAATATATGGCAAGTGTTCTCTGGACTTTTCCGGCGCCGTGGACGGGGAGAAGACGACGGAGGAAGTCTTTAGTGAATAATCCAAGCAAAACAAGTTACGATAACGTTAAAATAACTTGAAAATGATCGGAAACATTAATTAAACATGATCCCTCCGCAAATAAGCTGTCAATCATCTGACCATCGTATAATTTTTGTATAACAATTACTTTTTTTTTTCTTTTATAGATTCGAAAATCCCTTTCCAGGATTAAAGTATACGCATTTATGTGTCTGTGAGGTGGAGTGCCGAGAACATAAAAAAAATTTTTTAATTGAAATTTATCATTTTTTAATCTACATTATGACAACATTTCCTTCATATAAATGTTGTGCAATCTGTACTTACGAAATAGTCCACAGACTAATAGTTTGGACAAAACAATACCATAGAATTCTTGGAAATGGACTTAGACATCTAATTAAAATGTTATTGTTTTACGAAAATTTATGTGTATGTGTGCGTGAGATATTGATGTAACAGTGCGTATAATAATGTGTCGATGACGCATAAATCATCTGTGTGCAAATCCTACTTACACTATGATTAATTACCTTTAAGATCCCCTTAATTTTTTTATTCATGCATGCAAGGAAACAAGTTATGAAATAATGCATTATAAATATAGAAATTATGCATATCAGCATGCCGCGCTCAATGAACATTGAACGTATTCTAGCACGCATCAAAATGTCGATAATGTAACTTTTTCTCTAGAATGAAAACGTGAAAATTTTTATATATGTATGTATGTATGACATATACAAAAAATGTTCACTTTTCATCTTTCTGTCCTAGAAAGGTTACATGATTGACCCTAAGAATAAGTATACATGTGCATGTATACTTACCATTCAAGAAATCGAACATCGTGTAATTCCAGCTTAAATATAGTCGTTTTTTCAATAAAGATCAAAAGTTGATACTAAAAGACAAATTAAATTTTAACAGAAAAGATTTTAGCAAATAGAACCTTAGAACGTTTTTTTATGACTTTCCCAATTCCAGCGTTCCTTTCCTTTACGAAAGGTTTTCATTTGTAGATTTATATCGATATTTAGGTAATTGTAGTCTTCATTTTGTGGACCGGTTAATGGTAACCATGAATTTGTAGTAGGCGTGGGACTTCTGAAAATCGATTTGAATTAATTATTAATATATGTCTGAAAATGTTTTCTACAAAACAAAGAAAAAATTCTTGTACCCCGTTTTAGCAAAATCCGTCCACATTTGCGTAAGGTAATTTATCATCGTATAGTCATTCGTACCAGGTTTGGGTAGCGACAAGTTCATTGCTTTCGCTACTTCTGGGCAAAATAAGAAAAATAAATCCTCTCCGTGGGATACTCCTGCAAAATATTTTTATATTAGAAAATAGTTCTAGAATTACAGACTCATTATATTGGCTTTAAATTTTTACATTAAAAAAATTTTTAGTCTAAATTTCTAAATTACATTGACGTTTTTGTTAAATAACATATTGTTTTATGTGCAATATTACAAATCAAACACACGTTGAACGTAATAATTGGACATAAAAATCCAGAAGCATCGCTGAATAAAAATATATTTATATTAATTAGCAATTATATTATACCTGGAAGTCCGAAACGTTGTACTTTTTTCATAAGAGAAGTTTCGCTCTCATAATCGAAATGATATAAATACGTTGATTTATAACCACCAGAAGACTTTTGCAATTCACATACATTCATTATATCGCGTATCAAAAATTCATCTCCTAAGAAATACGCATAATTTATCAAAGTTTCCTCTGATATTTTTCTTTTTCCAAAATATAAAGATCTTAATTCCTCAACTGTAATTCCTATTTTAGGTAATTCGGATAATACGTTTGATAATATTGCTTTTTTAAAATCAGCATTTACTTGTCCCAAATCTTCCTTGCTTATATCTGAAATAATGTAAGAGCGTGATTGTACTGATTATTTTGGGGTATTGCATATCAAACAAGTAATATTTTAGGAGTACTTTTATTAAGAAATAATGAACTTCATAATGTTTGTGAAAAGCATTTATCTCTAAAATAACGCATAATATAAAACCATAATAATATTAAACTTTGTATTTGAATATTTTATTTAGTAGTTAGACGTCAGCAAACATACAAAACTAATGGTAAAACTTAATAAAAATGTTATTTTAAAAGAGTATAAGTTTGTCTTAGGATTTACATAATTGTAACTATATTTAATAATTCTTATGTATATTCAAAAGTTATAATAAAATAGAATTTATTTTTTAATATTATAAGAAAATATTGTGAAACTCTCTTTAAATGTTGACAGCATATTTGTTAAATATGAATTATTGTAATATTCTTATTAGATTTACACATACTCTCTCTCTCTCTGTATGAAAACTTGTGCGAAAAAACAAAAGGCAAATCAATTAAAGACATTTCTAATGAGAACAATAGCATGTAATTGTACATTACCTCCAAAAAAGTCGCTACGTAACATAAATATCCCTTCGTTACGAGTAAATCCTAAAAGAAAGGGCACTTGAACCCCGTGGCTTACATATTCCTTTAGATGTTTAGGAAAAACTGGATTCGGTGATTTGGTGTCCAGACTAGGTGTGAAGCAAAAGGTAAAACTCAATCTCTCCTGATGATATTAAAAATGTGAAAATATTTTATGTATATTTAAATATTTTAGTCTTTGCACAGTGAGAATCAAGCTTATATATAGAAATGTAATCCACATTTTAATAAAATATTGAAATACTTACTGCTTCTGTGCAAATTGGCCATTGTGAATTTTCCGTAAGTATTTTCGCATCAATAGTTTTTAGAAACTCGTATGCGACTTTCGGATCTGATGTTGCTTTTCCAAGTTTTTTGGCAAGCCGAAAACCATGATCCGTCCATTCATGGAAGGCCCAAGGATTTGAAGCAACGCCACTTTGTGCGATCACTTTATGGAATAAACCTGTAAGGCACAATTGTAATGAAACTCTTTCAATAAATTCATTGTCGTAACATCTTGCTTTCTTTCCTTTCATCGGCATCATACACACAATGTTAGAGAATTCATCAAATTTTTAATTTATCCATTATCGACACTTATTGTGTGATAAATTCTTTAATACATAATATTAAAGAAATTCATTTACCTTATTTTTTATAAATTAAAAAATTTTTACATTTTGTTTTGTCTCTTTGTAACAAACGTAAAAATGACTTTTTAAACATCACAAACACACACACACACACACACACAAAGAAATAAAATTTTTTAAAATGTTATTTATTAATAAAATAGAAACTTAATAAAATAATTATTATTTTATTCAACTGTTTCTGTTAAATCAAGTACAAAAGTTTATTAATATATTTAAAATAGAATAAGATACAAGGATTGTGTATTGAGAAATTTGTAGACTATACCCTTAGTTAATGGAGACAGAGCTAGACAATGTGCAATGGCTCCACCAGCACTTTCTCCAAAAATAGTGATATTTCCTGGATCTCCACCGAATTTTAATATATTTTTTTGGACCCATTTTAACGCTAAGATTACATCTTTTAGACCTTGATTACCTGCTGCCACTTTATTATTAAGGTTTAGAAAACCTGAAATCATATTAATTTTTGCTTTTATAATATTGATACATTATGGCTAAAAATAAATGATACAAAAATAAATAAGAAAAATATTTGTTTTCGAATTAATAAATTAAGTATAATTCTATATTCTTTTTTATGATTCGTAAATAATCTTTTACTTTTTAAAGCATTTACTTCGATTTTATAAATATTTGCCATAATACATAAAAAAGAATATTTACTTTTATTTAATATTCTCGATAATTGATAAATATATTTATTTTTACTTTTTATTTTTACTTTCTATATTAATATTTAATAGTAATTCGGTAACGTAAAACGCTAATAGATTATTTGCAATATTAAAACTATAAATCTAATGTATGTTCATATCCTCTGAGGAAAATTAGATAAGAGACTATAAATGCGAGTAACATACAAATACACACCAAAATAATAAATGACATACCTAAAACGCCTAATCTATAATTCAGAGTAACCAATACTACGTCTTTTTCCACGATATAATCGGGACCATACCAAGCTGCATCACCAGAACCTATAATAAACCCACCACCGTATATCCATACCATTACCGGACGCTTTTTCGAGGATTCGATTTTTGTAGTATACACATTTAAATAAAGGCAATCTTCATTTCCTATAACTTTGTGTGTGACAAGCTCTACTTGAACAGCTATGTTTCCGTACTTTGACGCGTCTCTTTCACCAAACCATGGTTCCGCTGGTACTGGATCCTAAATATGCAAAATTTATATATATATATATACCATATATTAGGTGTTGAACTTAATTCCTGCCGCTCGCTTAATTTAAAACAATGTTCCACACCTTTAAAAAATCTAAAAAAAAATTTTTGTAATGTAATATGCTAAAAAGTTTGACACGCTTTTTAGCATATTACATAAAAAAAATTTTTTTTTAGATTTTTTAAAAGTTTGGAACATTGTTTTTAAATTAAGCGAGCGGCAGGAATTAAGTTCAACACCTAATATATATATATATGAATGAATATTTAACGGGATGTATTTAGTTTTAAAAAAATATATATTTTAAAGATTATAAGTTTTTTTCTTATTGCGCGCATAATTAATTCGTCAACATTTGAAAAAAATTGAGACTTTCTCTCTCTCTCTTTCGATCTAATTAAATCTAATTAATTCTAATTTTAAGGCAGATCAGCTGAAGTTTATCATCATATTATTGTTAATTATATTGCATGCTTGTATAACGATAAGGCACTAATTAACTCACTAAGTAATTTATTACCTTAAATCTAAGTTCGCCTACTGGAGGTTTGGCATATGGTATTCCGCGAAAGGCAAAATAACGAACGTTGTAGCCATCTACGACGACTCCGACCAATTTTCCTTCATCTACTTGTACTTTAATTTCACTCATAATGAATATATACTGTAAGAATAAGATGAGAATGACATTAAAGGGTCAACCCGTGTTTGTTACAATATATTTATGATGTTTATAAATATATACTTTTTAAAAATATATTTTGACTTTCGTTTTAATATTTTTTTATATTACCGTTTTATTACTGTTTTTACATTACAAATATTATTGCATTAGTTGCAACATTACATTAGATATTTCAACTATCAATATTGGTTACGTAAAATGAGATTAAATATAAATTTTTGAAACTTTGAAATAATCGCTTGATTGTAAGTTCTACCGTTTTATCGCTTGACGTTATATTTTTTCAGGTCGATGTTCTACCATTTTATCTCTTGACAATATTAGATTTTTCAAGTCGATATGTCACACGTACGATGTGTAATTTTATTTTTTAAAAACACGAAATGTGTCACGAATGTTTCCGTTGTATTGTCTTTTTGAGATTGCTTATAATCTTAATCGATAACGACAAAAACAGTGATACCTGATCGAGTAAAGTTCCCTAAATTAAGCGGAAATACTAAACTAAATATATGAGCTATATTTTCTATGTCGCGATACAATGTTCATACAATATGTTAATTCTGTAAAATATAATTAATCGGTTTTGTTTTTATAGATTATGTTACATGAATTATGTAAGCGAACTCGAAAGATTACAGCAGCATTATTTGTTGCGCGTCTTAGAGCCTAAACACAGATTTTTGCATAACGCATAACATATAAGGCATAATTATGGAATTAATTTTATATGCCTTACAGTTAAAACTTAATCTACAATGTGTTCTTTGCTTCCTGTTTCTTGCTTTTTACCTCATGTCTCTTCTTTTTTTGCGATCGTTTTATCGACAATTGCGTTTTTTTTTTAAGTGTTGCTTGTTTCTTCTGAAGTTTGTTAAATTTTATTACGGGCAACAGAAAACAAAAAGCTACAGGTATAAAGATAAGAAATAAAAAGTGATAAAAAGCAAAAAACAGGAAACAAAGAGCACATTGTAGATTAGGCTTAAAAAATTAACCGAATAGAGTCCTTTATTTTATATTCCTTGATTGATTTGCTTATGCCTTATGCGCTATGCAACGTTATGCAAAAATCTGTGCTGCGATCTTTATTGTATGTCTATAAGATTGGAATATCGCACTGTAAATGCAAATCTATCCGTAAAATTATAAGGAAATGTTTTAAAAAGATCTTATTTACCTCTATGCTTAAGTAGTTTTGTGGTACTGTTTTCAATGATTTCTTTTACCTAATATTAATTGAATGACTTGCTCGTTTTAATTCTCCAAAGAAAACTAGCTGGACTTTCAAGAATGTCTGTCAGTTTTATATATCCTCCATTGAATGTATAAATATATATATGTAAATTGGTATAAGAAATATCTGATTTATGGGACACTTAGCCTGTTTCGTTTTTAGTATTTTTATAATTTGTATTTTTTACTATTATGCAACTTGTATTTTCCTGTCTCTAATCAGAAGATGTTAGCGTTATTTAACTCAGGACATTTCTGATATTCTTATCGTATAAAACTAAAATGAACCTGAAAAATTTGAAAGAAAGTTGATAACACATCTTTATATCACTTTCATATGATATAATTTTTGTGTAATAAATATGTAATAAATATGTATACGGATAAAACATTTTATGCGATATGTGACGATTGGATCTGCTCTTTTAATTATCTTCAAATGTGAATCGCGTTTCAAATTTACTCGAAATAGTTCACACAAGGATATAAATCTATATTGAAATATATATATAAGTATTCTTTTTGTTAAAATTATAGACAATATTTTATTTTATGAAGCTTGTAAAGCGATATAAAAAATCTTGTTACGATGAAAATATTATAATAATTTTGACGATAATAATTATAGTGATCCAGCAAAAGTTTATGATATTTAAAAAATTTGTTATTTGGAACACTAATATAATAATAAATTTTAATGCCATATTTAAAAATATGAAATAAGTTGATCGAATTACTCAACTTATATAATTAAAATGTTTGCAAGAATTAATTATAAATTTTTGATACAGTTGTTTATTAATGAAATGTTATACCATAAATATAAAATTATTAAATACACTAAACTTTTTACTAGTATTGTTGTTTATTTTTAGAAATTATTATATATATGAAGATGTTACAATATTGTAAAAACATTGTTCCTATTTTAATTGTTTTATGGTAAAGTTTCCGAAAATAACATCGTGAATCTGATATAACTTATATAATTTTTGCACGCATCACATGTATATGGCCGCTATTCATAGTCTATTCTTATGTTTAAGACTATGTCTTATGTTTAAGACCGTCTTATGTAATAACTTAACAATCTTTTTTTATTTAAATAACGCCTCTCTCTTCTCTCTGTAATTGATTTATAACATCTTAAAAGTGTATTTAAATGCAGTCTTAATAAAATATAAAAATTGACTTTAAATATCGGCTTATGGTTTCGTAATCCATGAAATTAAAATAGTATGCGGACATTAGATGATGTCTGTAGGTTCTGACAAAAGGCTATAATCAAGAAAGTTACCCCGTCTACATTAAGGAACTTCTCTATTTTAGAGACAAGAATTGATTTTTTTATATCTCTTATATTTTTTTTTGAATGTCTGCAAAATATGATTTTCAAATTTCATCGAAAAATTTACAACACTGACGATGTTATAAAAGAGAGAGAATTAAGGCGACTTTAAATTGAATTATATTAGATTAGGGCTCCAAAAATGGATCTTTCTTTAGTGAATCGAATATGACAAATAGAATTTTCATGGTCAACAAAAGTACAAACGTTTAAAGGCATTGACACAAATATGTACACATACACGCGCGCGCGTTACTATCATACTTCTATACATATATAAATTTGAAGGTTAGAGGTAATTATCGAAAATGCATTTAATTTAATATATTTTTTCTCTAATTTATATTATATAATATATTAGTATTCTTCCAACTTTAATTATTTCTAACTCAATTTAGTATATATATTTTCTTAATTTACAAAATGCATGCAAACTGAAACACATTTATTTAAACCGCCAAATATAATTAAAAAAAGATGATAAAGAATATTAGAGACATTTTTTAGGCGATTAAGAAAATAAAATGCTAAATAATTTAGACAAGAAAAAATATCTTTTAATGGATAACAAAACAGACAATATAGATATTTTATTTAAAAGCTTTCTCTACATTGTCAAAAAAAATATAAGAATTTTTATGAAGGTTTAAAATTAATTTATTGAAAAAATATCTGAAAAAGAGAAAATACTTAAGTTAACAACAAAGATTTTAAATTTGAACAAAGATTTGACTTTGAAATATACATATTGTTCTTCAAAAAATCATCGAAGTAACAGATTTCGTAAATGCTTGTATCTCTCTAATGAAATCTTTTGTTTAATATTGATCATTGATATTTCCAATCAAAGTTATTGAACGATATTGTATTGATAACACTTGCAACATTAATATTGATTGGTTTTTACGTTTTGATGACCCCCAATAAAATAAATGTACACACGTAAGAATGTACGGTTTATCATATAACATTTGATCTATAATACGATATTTTATTATATCAAATTTTTAATATATGTAGCATGTATGATAAGATAAAATATAATTCACTTAGTAGTATTCTAAAATTATTTGAAAGTTATTCATAGTACATAAAATATTTTAAGTAAAAATTACATAGCATGAATAAGGAGAATGTATAGTTACAGTGAATAAAAAAATATGAAGATTTATATGTATCAAAATAAGGCAGTATGGAAAAATCTTCATTCTTCTATTTCTAAACAACAAACAGGCAAGGGATGCAACTACAAAGTATGATATACCTCTCTACTAACAGGTATATATAGGTTTAAAAATATCGTACGTTATCCATTCAAAATAGATTTTAAAGGGAAAGAATAGTACTTTACGATAGCACAAAAATTTTGATGAAGCTTTGGTGATTTTTTAAATATTAAAATTTATTTTTTCTTTTATAATGTTTTGTCTGCTTATTTGAATAACTAAAATTAAAACTTATTTAAATTAAAACTTACAAGAAAAACTTAAAAATTACTAATCATATGAGTATTGGTATTTATGGTTTCTTGCGTTGGAAGATAAAAGTGAAACATGTACAAAAATATGTTCAGATCACGTGAAATCTTGGGACAAAAATCATCAGTTTTACCAGTCCGATAGATCAGATGGAAATCTTGCGATAGGTATTCTAGATTCGTATATGTATAATATATATGTTCGATTATTAATAAGAATAAAGAAAAATAATAATAAATTACTTTTACTTGTCTCACATTATGCATCTAAAAAAATAGTTATCAAATTGTCCCTTCCTGGTGGTCTCGTCGGTAAGATAACGCATTATATTATTATAAATACATTATATATGGTTTAACGACGGTAACTAACGTAAAAGCGAAAGGAGAATATTGTCTGAAGATGGCTCAATAAAAGAGCCGAAACAAATAATATGTCTAGATTCTGTATGTATGTATTACAACTATTTTTAATAATGTTTATACGTTAATTTAAAAAAAAACATTTGACTTTTATTTGCCCGTTTATCGTTATATATTTATTGAATTTGTAAGAGTCCTTGACTAATTTATATTATTTGCATTATATTATTATTACATGTAATTATGCAAATGTAAAAAATGTTGCATTATAAACGTTATAATAACGTTATAATAAGACTTTTATTATAGTTAATTATTATTAACTATCGGTAGAATAATGAGGGGTTTTAAAAGCATTTTTATACGTATTAAGTTTAAAAGAAGATATAAATAGCAAGCGATCATAGATTGCATTTGAAATATATGTGTTCACCACTGTAGTAGTTATATTCAGGTACTGTTGCAATTCAAAAAGTTATACCTAATTTTTTAAAGGCGAAAGCATTTTCAAAAATTTTGCTCTCATTATTGCAACTTATTGTA